TTGTAGAGGTGTGCTGAAGTCCCCTAGAAATGGATGAAAGCAAGTCATTTTGAACACAGGTATCACCAAGTCATTCATTTTGCATGAGCTATATTAAGAAAATAGGTAAGAATATGGTAAGAAAACAGGGGACATAAGCAGCATATATCCCAGCAACAGCTTCAACAGGAATTCCAATAAACCAACAAGAAAAATGTTCTTTATGAGGCATTACATCTACACATTTTTATGTATCCAGGATCTATTGTTACACATCTGCAGCCACCCCAATTAACAAAGCTGAAGGGGGTATATCCCATCTAGATCCTGCCTCATACCCTCTCCATCCTCAAGACTTTGACATTCACAAAGAATCACAGATTTATTCAGCCACAGAAGAGAAAACTTTAGTATGAATACTAGCGGGTCACTCTTTCATATATTCCATTCTTCACTGTATCCTACATTAAATCTACACTGGATACAATAGTAAAAATATAGAAAAGCACTTTTTATTTTTTTTTAATTGTGTCATGTTATTGATTCAAGGTGTGATGAATCCATGTCCCGACGTTAAGCAAGATAACTAGAATCATCAGTGGTACAAGAGGGTGTATCTGAGTTCCTTTATCATATCACCATCCTTGGTGAGTGCTCTAAATTTTTATAATTTTTAAAATTACAGGGAATCCAGGCCAACACCATTAATGTCTCCTGCACTGTTTTAAAGTCATGACACATCCCATGTGCAATTTTCATAGAAATGAATGAGTTCCCTAATTTTAGGAGGTGTTCCAGGCAGTTTTCTATGGAAGCAGTTATCCACCTGCACCCCAGAAATAGTCAGAAATTAAGAGTTGGACCTTTCTTAACCATTTTTATTACTGTCCTGCATGGGTCCTTCCACAGCAAGAAGCTATTATAGATCTCACTCTGAGGCTGTAGCACCTTCCACTTACTGCAGATACTTTTTGGTACATATTTTTGGATTTTATTCAGGAAGCCTGAAGAACTAGACTCCAGTTCTTTCTGTACCTTTCCAGCTTTTACAGAGCTTCTGAGGAGAAAATAAATAAATAAATTTTAAAAAATCATAGACTAGGTGTGGGGCGATATAAGGGTACCATAATACAATAGGAAATAGACTAGAGTCAACAGGAGTCATCCAGGCAATCAATAATCCAGGATCAATAAAATCTAAACTAGTTCTGGTGTATTCATCTGTTAAACATTAATTGAAAAAAACATAGAAAACTACATGGCCCTAGTTATGCTGCTATGGAATCTCCAGCAGGGAAGAATTACGCCCAATGCCTGAAATAATTCCTCCCTTTAACAAGTTGTTCTGTTTTTTTTTTTAATAAATATTTTATAAGTTGCTCTGACATACTCACCAGCACTTATAGCTTTGAGGGTGGAGTCAATTAAAAGGTTTCTTTCCACATTCCTTAAATCTGCAGGTCTTTTCAGACAGATTACACTTCAAATGTCCTTAAGATTAACAACAGATTCCAAACTCAAGTTCATTTAAGTACCTCTTAAAATGTTCTGAACCACTGGATTGTCACTTTTTTTACTGGGCTCAATTCGTATTTGAAAAGTTGAAATGACTGTTGAATGCTACCCTAATGATCTGAAGCAATAAACCCAAATGAAGTAAGTCATTGTTAGATTCACTAAATTTGATGACAAATTGTACATTTGGGGGTCCTGACCTTACCCACTTGTAATGCAGGAATCCAAGAATATGTTCCATTTACCTGAATAAATTGCTGTAGTTGTCTTAGGTCTGCCTTACAAAAGTATTTTACAGACTGTATTTAATAATTTATGAGGTTTAAAATTTTCTTCCCTATTGAAGGAATGAAGGGATCTTTCTTAAAAAAAATTAGTTAGATTTCATATGACTCCATCAGTGCTTTCACTTGTCATGGCTCGGAGCACACACAGCCACTGAGCTGGCTGAGGAAGGGCAGCTGCAGACTGCCTCAACCCTAGCTTGGCAGGTGACACCAAATGACTACAGTAGACATTTTCAGTAAAAGGCTGCAGATGTCTCACCCCTTCCCCTCATGACCAAGCTGAAGCTCAGACATTCTCCCCAGACTAGTTTTTCCCCCATTCATAATTTGAGGCAAGAATAGTCTATTAAGGCTGAGGACAGTCTGATCTTTGGCAGCCCAACACTGTAAGAAACATTCCTTCTGCCATTAGTCTCCCTCTCTCTCTTTTCTTTTTTTTTAATTTTTTTTTTTTTTATTATTTTAAACCCTCTTCCATGTATTCAAAACTGATCTTCAATTAGGACAGGAGACGTAGGCACAATGTTGTATTAGTATGCAGACTGAAGGACTGATACAAATGTAATTAAGTTTTCCTGCTTTTCTACTTACTGGTTCCTCTGTTGATCAAAAGATGGGAACATGCTTTTTGGGCCATGGAATAGCAATAAAAACTTATGGTCACTGGCTATGTACCGTGACTACCAAGTTCATCTGATAATCACTGACTGTCACAACAGAGAGGTGACATGCTCAGCGTGCATCATGCTTTGTTTCTACCTGCGCTTTTACACTTAGGATACCTGCATATTTTGAAAGCTGAGTACTCAGGTTGTGTACTGACTATAGCGTCTGCATACTTTTCTTGGACTGGTGATTTTAATTTTATTGCTTCTACTGGATCATGGAAAAAGGGATAGAAATAAGAGGATCGTCTAGACATACTCCTTATCCATTCGCAAACAGTTTGGAGACATATTGGACAATTCTGAACACATGCTGTTTGCCATTTCTGAGTATGTACTGCCCTACTGTCTTTAAGTATCATTCAGTAACAAGTCAAACACCTTAAGTAACAGAAGTGTGCCATATTGATGGTTAGTTGATTTTAATCAACCAACTATGTAAATCTGCCCCCAAAGATACCAGACTGGTTCTATTTTCTTTAAGATTCTTATAAATGGTCTTCTTTGTATTTAATTCCTTTAATTGCTAGTCAATTTCCTTATCAGTCACAAAATCACTTTATTTAGGGACCTTTATCTTAAGATTTCTTTATTTTGGGAACCTTTATCTTGAACTTTGTAATTGCAATGACAGAACATAAGTGGAAACTTTGAAGCAGCTGGGCTCATGTGCCTTCAGTTCAAAGGCAAGAGAGATACTTGCCACATTACTATATATTAATGCCTTTTTCTTACATATTATGCAAAAGTAAGCATGTTAAAATTCTTTTAACAATATGACCAAGTTTGCCAGGACAAAAGCAGTAACAGCTCTGTTAAAGGAAGAGACATCTAAAAATATTTTCTCCATGAACAGTTTGCATTGGCAATGTTATTGGAATATCATAAAGTTTGGTTACTCTCTGCTTTAAAAGGCATTCTGCATAGAGATAGCTTGAAATAACACACAAACTAAGGATCTTCATTGTCAGAATTCAACATTCCTGCCTGCAATATTTTGTCCCCATTATATTAGATCATTCTGATCTTCAGAATCTGAGAAGAATGCAAAATAGCTAACTCTGGTTTCTCAGACTTACAGAGACTACCATTTACATAAAACCTCAAAAATTTCACTTGGGCTCAGTGTTTGCACAAAAGTCAATGTGCCTTAGACCCCAGGAAAAGTACCTAAATCCTTACAAGATCTTTTAATAATTCACCTCTTTAATAGTTTCTTCTGATAAATTTTCAAGCATTTTCCATTTCTTCTATCAGAGTTAAAATGAGTAAGGGTAAAATTAGCGCAGTGTTGAGCAGACAATGTAGTGGCAATTCCCATGATGCTCTAATATTTAAGTATCCTGTCACCATTTTGCCCATTTCAGAGGAATTGTATGCAACTGTGAGATCTGTTAATGTTATATCCAGAATTTTAAAAACCTCACTGAGAGGATTTTTTCTTCCAAGTGGCCTCAGAGAGATAAATTAACAGGATGTATTGGTTAACCCAATTATAAAACATCACAGTCACTAGAACATTAAACAACTGAGTTATTCTGGAGATTCTGATAACATCTTTGTCCCTATGCATATACTAGTCTAAGCTTTGCCTTGGTATCTTACAAATAAGCTGCATATCTAGAAATATGTCTTGCCTTACATGTTCGGGTTTTTTTCAGCTTAATTCTTTATAACCATCAGGAAAATCACATTTCCCTCTCGTTTTTTGTGACCTAAATCTGTCAAAGAACCTCAGTCCTGTGATATTTATTTCTTCTGAAAACACAAAGATAGAATTGAAGTCATGCTATTGTCAGTTACGGAATGATCACTCTCAAACTTTACCAACTGGTGCTAACTTTTAAAAGTCATCAACATTTTTCAAAAGTTTCTTCTTACTGATAGTTAAAAAACAAGTTACAGCACCTTCTGCTCCCTTTTGTGGTTTTCTGTAAGTATTTAAAACTGCAGCCCTTTCACTGATCCCTGGCCTAACAACTATATAAAAGAACACTTCTGCCTCCAACATAAAGGTATTTTGCATGTGACAAAAGCTTCCACCTGTGCATCTGAGAAATTTAAGAATGGTGTTTTACTTCTCTGGATGCAAATGCATTATAACAATTAACAACAATTCCAGCTATCCCTGACTTTTAATGAAGATACAGCACAGTGGTGTGCGTGCTAAGCAGAAAGAGGGATGCCCTTCTTCCCTGGGCAGTAACACTACCACGAGCCACATAGCCAGGCAGGAAAACACTTTGCTGCCAGAAACACTTGGTGCTGGCACCGGGCTGAGCCTCTGAGAGGGCCAAGCACTAGCACTGGCGGTGGGACATGGATATTCCCCATGGAGCAGGCAGGCTCGGAGGTGCATAGGCTCAAAAGTCATCTTTCTGCAACGACCTCGAGAACGGTGCAGAGGGTCCAGCACCACGCTCCTACGGCATATTCTGCCCGTCGGCTCCATCTCGCTCTTCCTGCCTTCCTTGGGGCCTCAGGCCCTGACGTGACGGGTTGCAAAACTCCCCTGCACAAACACGCAAGAAGAGGCAGGAAGGGCAAAGTCCTGTGGCGTGGAAGCACAGATCTCTTTACTCTTCGTCCTCTTCGCCTGAAAAGGAGGAAACACGGAGAACGCGGTGTCTAACGCAAACAAAAACACCGAACCCTGTCCTGCCAGCCCCGCGCTTCCGCCGCGCCGCCGGCACTGCGCACGCCCGGCACGGCCACCGTGCCCGCATGGAGGAGGAGGAGGAGGAGGATGGAGGCCCGGGAGCCGCGGGGGCTCCGGAGCGGTCCGGGCGCTTCGTGCGCTGCCTCTACGTGGTGGGATTCCTGGTGAGCGGGGAGTCGGCGGGAAGGCCGCGGTGCCTTCTCGCGCGGCCTGGGGCGGGCGGCCGCGCCCGGAGAAGGGAATCCTTTCCGCTTCAGATAAAGGCTGCTAGGTTCTGGGGTACATCGCTGCAGCTGCTCCTCGGGGAGTTGGGATGCTTGTAGCGATAGTGGTGTGTAGCGGCTGTGCTGTTTTGTCCGGGCGAACAGCCCTGCAGTTTGATACAAGGGTCGTATTTTTATCCTGTGCGTGCCATGGAATAGTGCAGCGCCTTTAAAGGTGAGTCTTGCCTTGTGCTTATAAGAGAGCTGAAATACCCGTGCTTGACATAAACTTATATTAAAAAAAAAAAAAAAGAAACACTGAACATGGGTTTTTCTAGAGGAAAAATCTGAGAGAATATAGACTTTAAAGATGGATCATATTCTGTATTGATTCACCAGCCCCAGGAAAGTGCCATTTGAGATTAAAAGGGATTACTTGGAAAGTAAATACAAAGTGAGTACGAATTTGCACTGTGAAACGTCGAGATACTGTCTTCCCTACCCTTAGGTTGGGCAGTAGAAACAACCTAGTCAGTTTGTGTCCTGGACTAAATACTCCAGGTAAAGGTGTGTTAGAACAACCTTTGCTTCTTAACTAACTTTTACACAGTGTGGTTCTCCAGCCCTGTAATATCTTGCTGACACCGAGCCAGAGCACACACAGATGTCAACAAAGTGTCCTTTCAGAGGTGTGGAGTGTCCTGATATAATACGGAGCTGTTGCTTGTAATGCAAGCTTCCTGTAGCCAGGCAAATACAGGGTATCCGTCATTCAACATAAGAAATTACACATGAAATGAGAAGTAACTACCCATAAGAGGATGGTGGTTAATGGGTCTTGCTCTACCTACACACTTATGACAAGTCCAGTACTGCCAGGGTATATTCTGAGCCTTGTTCTTTTTAATGTCTCTATTAATAACCTGGACGAGGTCATTGAACCTCCTTTGGGTTTGCAGATGTCACCTAAGACTGTGTTACTGCAGGTGTTTGGAAGTCATGTACTCTGTTTGTTAATGCTGATGTATTTAATGATGATTCTAACCTTGTAAATCTCAATTTCAAGCATCAAAAGATAATTAATGACAGACTGTGAGAATTTAGGGATACACATTGTTACAGTTAATCAGGCTTTGGAGTAGTCCAGTTCAAACAGTCGCTGATGAAAGGTGATCTTGCTCCGATAGATCTTCTCCAAGGGACAGTAGATGCTGTGTCAGATTGTAGTAGTAGTGGAAGAACTACTACGTCGCTGTGGTGAGCTTAACAAAAGGGAAAAAAGCAAAAGGAACAATCAGGAGATCCTTGTGCTGTTCAGGATGGGCAGTGTCCTTTTCCCTCCTCTTACAAAATGTTTTTCACAAATACTTTTCTTTTTTTCTTTTTTTTTCATGTTTCTGTCTTTTCACTACATTTAAGCTATACACAGATGTGTAAGTAGGTTTAGATCATAGCTTCTTCCCCATTGCAGTTGAGTTGAAATACTGTAGTTTTTCAAAATATACTTTCTTTGCACAAGTAAAAAGTATTTTTAGGTCATTGAAATTACAGACAACTTCGAATTTAAAACACTGGTACCAAGTACTTTTCTTGTTAAATGGGTAAAGTTTAATACATATTAAAGAAATATTTAATGTTTAAATGTGTATCTTGAGAAGGATTGTATCTGGAGGGGGGGAGAGGACTGATGTTTTCATAAGTTTAACTCCTCCAAGAGGCAATCCTTTATCTTTCAGTTTATGTGTTTTGTAATTTTGTACATACTTGATGCACTGCAGAGGTTACAACATACCACATTGACCATGAAAAATTAATTTTCTTTTAACCTTGTGTTGATATGGAGGTAATTTACTTTTTTTTTTGTTGACTGTTATTAATCTAGGTTTCTATCATCTTTGTAGAAGTTATTAAAACTTTTTCTGCCTTCTTTCCAGGATTTATTTGGGGTGAGCATGGTTGTTCCTTTAATGAATCTTCATATCAAATCTCTAGGAGCAAGTCATACAGTGGCCGGAATAATAGGTGAGTTGTAGTACTTGACTGATTTACCAAAGAATAAGATAAGGCCTGGATTATGCCTTACTGCAAGTTGGACATTGTAACATAATTCTTCCTTGCTAATAGCACAATTCAAAGTAAGTAAGGACAATTTCCTAGTAAAACTGTAAGGGCAGCCATACTGGGTTAGACCCACAGACCTGTCCAAACTTGCAAACTGACAGTAGCCAAAAGCACACGCATGGGAAAGAGCACACTTGGAAAGAACTAGGAAGGCTTGGAGTAACATTTGTACAGATGCTTTTCCAGCATCCAAGAATTCACAGCTCAGCAATTTAGAGAGCTAGAGGTGTTGCTTCTAATTTTATTGTTATTTACAGACTCTGCAAACAGTACTTCTGTAGCTGGTTCTCCAAAGGTTTCAAAAGCCCACGATTGCTCCCATTTTGATTAAAATCCTTGCAACTGTCTTGGCAAAATATTTATTCACTTTAAGGAGTTTTTACAAGTAAATTCTGAAGATTAGGGGTTTTATCTTGACATATTAAGTCGTAAGGTAAGCTCTGTGGGTTTAAAGTTCTTTAAAGTACATTTTATGGTACTGTTTATGATTTGGAGTGATACAAGTATGATATTCTTTATAGCTATGTGGTTGACATAGGCTCTGTTATTTAGTTTTTTATTGTATTGCTTTTCTGTTTTAGCACTTTTCACGAAATAATTCTGGTTCTACACTGACTTGACAGTATTATTTTAAGGAACAATTAGTTAGAAATATGTCTTCATTTCAACAGTTTGCTTTGATTTTTAACTTTAAAAAAACCTGGGATTTGAGATGTATTCCTATAAATAAGAGAGTCTGGCAGATATTTCTCTCTGCTTCTCTTCATTCATTCTTTTCTGTCTCTAAGTGCTGATAAACTCCTAGCCTCCGAAATGACAAAGTACGGTCTGCGGTTTCTTCAAGGCATCTGTGGCGCCTTGCAGTAGGTTGAAGTGCCAAGTGGAAAATAATTAGTCCCTCCCAGTAATTAAATTCTCTCCCAGTTCTGAGAAAGCAACCGTAAATGCATGTATCTGTTTTGTTGCTGTTGTATCTGTTGCTTTGTTATACAAAGCAACATCATTCTACCTTACATAGTTTTACAAGTTTTCAGCACTTTTGTTTTGTCATTCCTGAAACACTACCTTTGGTTTGTCATGCTCCCTCTTCCCATTCTTCCAGTAAATTATTCCCAGAATTTCTCTCATTTTTTATGATTTAAAATTTTGTGTATTTTTCATTAAAAAAAAAGTTTAATTTTTAATACTGGTATTTTGTTTGTTTTAGGATCTCTCTATGGTGTAATGCAACTGTTTTCCAGCACATTTGTGGTGAGTTCTAACACTACATTCCAGAGCATGTTGGTGTTTCTATGGATTGTAGGGGGAAAAAAGGATGAGGCTAATAATGGTGTTTCTTGGCATTTTGAAAATGCATAAAGTGCTCTTATAAGCATTTTTGGTTGGAGGAACCAGGTTTTAGTTTGTGTGAAAAATGTTTGTTTCATTTATAGTGAATTGCCAGATTTTTCAGACTGAAACGGAATACAGTTTTTAGACAAAAATTAGAATACAGATTTAGGCTCAGATACGTTACTGAGCACATCACAGTCACACAGGGTTTTCTTCAGCATTGGTGCTGGTAAAGCAGTTGCCTTCAGTGCAGTAACCTATCCAAAACCAGTCTCGTGAGTCAGCCCTTCATAAGCCTGTTATCTAGTTCACTTTCCATGCCTAGTGAGCAGTGCCTTGTAATTCAACATATGGTCTAAATTAATGCATTGTATCTTTGCTCTTTGTTTGGCTTTGTTTTCTATTAGCTATTGGTTTTTTACATCCTAAGATTACCCTGGTACTAGTTTTCTAGCTTTCAGGGGAGCAGATTTCAAACATCTCATGAAAAAACTGTTTCAGGGTTTGTTACCCAAGCCATCTGGGATAATTTGCCAACCTTGTGGCATTTTCTTTGAACTGCAAGACCATTATCTACTTTCTTAAAAAACTATTTCCTTTTTGGAATCATGCTGATTTATAAGCATGCTAAATGCAAGTTTTCTGTTTACCCTTCTCATAACTACTTCTTACCTACGCACTCAGATGACAAACTTCTCATATCTAGGATCATTCCTTTTAGGATGTTCAACAGGTGTCTAGTACGCATCAACCATCAATGCAAACAAATATTTGTGGTTGGTTATGATAAGATTTTTCAGAAGACCACTACTGCTAATATGTATTGCAGGACTATTTTTAAAAGGGAGAAATTGTTTTTTAAAAAGCTGTATACGTAGCATTAAGTGGAATCATAGTTTTGACAGGTGCACTGCCAACAGGGCAGAACTCTGCTGGGGACTTGCAGATTTTGAGCACTTAGGAATGTTGTGCAATAACCTTATTAAGCTTTCATTGACAGTCCTTTGATCTCTTTTCTCAATTTAATTTAGAAGTACTGATTGTTCACTGTACATAGCTTAGTGTTATAAAAAGCTAATCTTTTTTTCTGCTTTGTAAAAGGGCTGCTGGAGTGATATAGTAGGAAGACAGTATTCCTTGCTTGCTTGTATTCTTCTCAGTGCACTGGGTTACTTCCTTCTTGGAACATCCACCACTGTGTTGCTGTTTGCCATTTCTAGAGTCCCTGTAGGTGAGTACACACTTGACATTTTGCAGTTTAAATTCCCTGTAGTCTTAGCTTGAGAGTTACTACAGGAAAAATCATTATATGTGGGTGACTACATCATCACCCAGCAGCACCAACTAAACCTTAATAATGGAAAAATCTCTACAAATCAAGAATTCTCATTACTTTTTCTTGAAAATAATTTGAAATGTTGTTGTGACCTAACCCACCAGGCAGCTAAACTCCACAAAGCCACATATTCACTCCCCCTCCCACGGCAGGATATGGGAGACAGTTGGAATTTAAGAAAGTAAAATTCATGGGTGGAATTAAAGACAGTTTAATGGGTCAGAAAAGGAAAGAAATAGTAATAATAAAAAAGAATTAGAATATACAAAGCAAGTGATGCACAATCAGTTTCCCACCATTCGCTGATCAGTGCTGAGGCTGTTTCTAAACAACAACCCCCACACATTTGTATGCTGAGCACACCACGGTATGATGTGGAATCTCCCTTTGACCAACTGGGGTCAGCTGTCCTGGCTCTGTCCCCTCCCACCTTCTTGTGCACCCCAGCATACACACTGGTGGGATGGGGTGAGAGGCAGAAGAGTCCTTGACTTAAGGTAAGCACTGCTCAGCAACAACTAAAACATCATTGTGTTATCAACATTATTCTCATCCTACATCCAAGAAGAAAATTAACTCTATCCAGATGAAACCAGGATAAATGTATACTCAACAACTGTCACAACTTTTATGCCGCCTTGAATGGCTGAAATTTATGAGAACAGGAGTGCAGCAATATCTTGAAAGAGGCTATTGTAAAATTAGTCATAGCAGGTACACAATATACCGGGTGACTGCTGAAAATCTTGGCCTGCAATTGCGATGGAGAATGGAATGATATGTGTGTTGGGGTTTTTTAATGCTGAAAATATACCTCAAAGTGATACTAGAAAATTTGGCTGAAGTTTTAGGTCATTGCTTCAACCAAAACATTTATGTTGTACAAAAGCATGTATGTTTGCAGCACAGAAGTGAAGTTTTTACCAGGGTTTGTAGCAGAGTTCTTAAAATAGCTGAACACCTACTGGATATATTCTGATACAATAAGCAGTGCTATTACTAAAGGGCACTTTTATGGACCATAGTTTTAATTTAAGAACTCCTAATATTGTTTCTTAATTTAAAGACAACTTGCTAATGAATCGCTTGGTTGAAATTTGATTAGATGAGTAGTAGATGTAGTACTTTTTAATCCTGACATCACAGTGACTGTGACAGCATTGCCATGGTCAGAGGGAAGCCACATAAAAGATTGCATTATTAATATTCTTGCAGTATGCCTAACCTTCTGTGCTCTTCTTTTGCCACCCACCAGTTTCCCATATGAACTTGGTGCGTTACAATCTTGGCACTCTTCATATTCAGCCAAGTTGGTACAGAGTTATGTCCATAAACAGACAAGCCATTTCTACTCCATCAAAGTTCCTGTTTTAGCAGCTATTTTATTCCTAGAATGCTTCAGCACATGACTTAGTTACTTCTTTCATCAGGGCTGAAGGAGCACACTTTGACACCGATGCCTGAATAATTTTGATTCCTAAGTCCAAATCCTTAAACAGTCAGGATTATGGTCATGGCCCAGTGTGCTGCGTGGCTCTAGCATTGAAGAATTTGTGATTAATGGGATCTTAAAAATATAAATCATACAGATTTTGCTTATTGATATTTCTGATAGCTTCTGTCGTCTTCAATCTTTTGAACAATACATGTTTGTTATTTTGTTTATATTGTGTTGCAGGTATTTTCAAACACACACTCTCTATCTCTAAAGCCCTGCTTTCTGACTTGGTTTCGGAGAGAGACCGCCCTTTGGTAATGGGACGCTTCAATGCAGCCTCTAGTGTGGGCTTCATTCTGGGGCCTGTGGTTGGTGGCTACCTGGCAGAGTCGGAAGGTGGCTTTTATCAAACATCCTTCATCTGTGCCTCTATCTTCCTTCTGAATGGTGGTAAGTTATATGTCACATTTTGCATCTTGGGTCCCTTCATTCAGTACTTTCGTGTTTTTATACCATCTGTAATACCTTGAATTCGTAGTGTATTTATCATGTATGGCATAAATGTTCTGTATACTGATACTACTCTTTGAATTTGAACCTGAGCGGAAGGAATTTTGGGAATTTTGAAACAGTTAACCTCTAGGTGCTTCTCCTTTGTTTTGCATATATCCCCTTTACATTCCGACACAAATAGGAACTTTTGATGTGCCTAAAGATCAAGACTAGAACTCAGAATTTTTGCTTTAGTCTTTAGATTTGTTCATATGGTATGAGTGTGGCATTTCATTGTTTCCTTTGTTGCTTTCACTGCATTAAAAATTGAACTGATACTGTGAATAACACTAGCCTTAATGATTACAATTTTTTAAGTGAAATTATTGTCGAAGTCCTTTTTTGAATTGTTACAGTCAAATTAATGTCTTTTATGTAAAGTTGATGCAATTGAATGAAATAAAATGATTTCTTGATATACATAGGTCTTGTCTGGATGTTACCTTGGAATGAAAACACTGGCAACCGGGAACATCATCAAGGCAAAGGAACAAATAGTCTCGCAGCAAAAGCAAATCATGACCCGCACTTCAAATCAGCAGCTAATAGAGCTGTGACAAACAATAATGTTTTCCAGTCTCCGTGGATCCAAGTTGCAACAGTGTTGAAGAAGATTAAAGAGATTGCATGCTCTAACTTGTGGGATATATTTTTAGTGCGGTTTCTGATGTCTGTGGCTATACTGCTGTACTATAGCAATTTCACTCTGGCCTTGGAGGAGAGATTTGGAGTGAAACCACTGTTCTCTGGATACTTAACAAGCTATAGCAGTGCACTTGGAGTCCTGGCTGGTTGTCTGCTCGGACCAATAACAAGGCTCTATCAGCATAACACTTACAGAGTTCTGTTGCACTCCAGCACTTTCACCTGTATGCTGATTCTCCTGTATGCATCAGCATTGAACATATGGATGGTCATTTTGTCTTCCACATTCTTAGCCTTTTCAACTACTATAGGTCGTACTTGTATCATTGATCTTGAATTGACCATTGGTGGGAATGAGGCCAGTGGCACACTTCTAGGTGTTGGACAGTCTGTGACATCAGTGGGACGTATAATTGCCCCACTCCTTTCTGGAATTGCGCAGGAGTTCAGTCCTTGTGGCCCTCCAAGTCTAGCTGTTGGACTAGCTTTAGTAGCTATTCTGATAATGAATGCAAACAAACAAAAATACTGTAGTCATGGAAATGTGAAGTTAAAAAATCAGTAAGCACAATTTTGTATTGCATAGGTGTATCTTCACCTGCCAGGCTTGTACAGTGGTTACATGATCTTTTAAGAGGGCACATTGTGTTCATGTGGAGGCAAGTATTTCTGCTGCAGGGTGCTGATCTACGGGGAAGCCGTACAACAGGTTTGTGAAAACAAAGGAGGACAATGCTGGTTTTCTGTTAACTCTAGATAAATGTTATTCTAACTGGTACCACTAGAACATTTGTAAGGGGGACCAGTGTTGCTATGTTGCTATATTGTACTGCCTGTGATTTTTTTTTTTAAAATGGATTTTTAACCCTTTTTGAGGGGGAAAAAAGAATACCATGAAATGCACAAATCCTGGTTGTAGCTCATATTTGAAACAGTGTTTAGATTGAGAGACTGTTAAAATACAAAAATTGATTCTTATTATTTAATCAAAGGTGGATATTTGTTATTTAATCAGAAGGAGAATTTGCAATATGCTTGTTGGCTAAATTTCTTATGCTGTGGTCAATTGCCATTTGTCTTCTGTGACAGTAGCTCAGTTAATAAGGTGTTTGCTTATGTGATTTTTTTGAAGCATACTTTGTCTACAAAACTTGCTGCACACCATGATCAGGCACTTTGGGATAGTCATCCAACCCCTGCTGATTCCTGGTCTTTCCCAGGTAACAGAACTGGGTATATGCTAACTTCGTGTATTAGAAGACCTAAAGTGGACAATTTTAAAATGCAAGTTTTATTGAAATTTGAACTGATGGTTTCTGTTTAGTAATAACTTCTACTGCTCAATTTTGTCATAAATATTTGTTATTATTTCCTGTACAGTTTTCCAGCCTTCAATTTAAGAATAAATTTCCCTCTTAATTCTTTTGAATGACTGTAAAGATGTGCTGGAGCAACTAGCAGTAGTTCATGGATCTTGAATAATGCATCCTCTCTCATCTCAGGCATAAGTGACATTTCAGTGACAAGAGAAAAATTTTTGTTTGTATTTTAGTCATTGTTTGAGTGCATGGCTTAATTAATGAGAGGTTACTCTCAGAGCTATACTGGAAGTTTTAGCAGTCCTGTGCTATTTACTGTTCAAGCTCATATTACTTGCCACTCACCAATGTTTGTATTTCATTTGAAACATAGGAAAAATGTATTTTTCACTGATAAGGTTCCATATGCTCTTCCTAATAATACTTAAAGAAAGTACAAAGTCAACTATATGTAATTGTTGGGTTGAGGGAGGGTTTGTTGAAAAACAGTTTAGTTATCTTCTTGAACACATCTGTACAAACACTGTTGCTGCTTCAGGTGAGTCATAGATGGTTTTTGCATTTTTTATTTTCATTTTCTTCTTTACCTTTTCCAGTGCCTGCTAGTGGTCAGATATTTGTTGAAATATTCCAGTAGCAGCACCATGGGAATATATATATATATATATATATATATGTACGTACATATATATATATATATATAAAAATATATAAAACGGAATTGTTTTAATTTTATATATTGACATAATCACTGTCTTATTAGTGCTGTGATTTCAGTACATATCCTCAGAGTTCTTTATTACAATAATCTTCTCCCGAGGAACTTGAGGCATTTTCAAGTGTCTTATCTTTTCTTGCCTTGTTTGGTAGATGCCTCAAAACATTGTTGCCCTAATTTTCCTGTTTTCTTTCTTTTCATCTTTTTTTTTTCTTTACCTAAAACTTTTCAGGGACTTCTGTTTTTCATCTCTAGCAAGGGGTAAAGGAAATTAGTAGGAAAAAAGCTTCAAAAATTAATATATATGAATGATTTAGTAATTTTTCCAATACTTGCTGGTTATATGAGGTAACATTTACCTTTCTAAGGTGGTGCACTGAATAAGTCTGACTTCTGTAAACACTTATACAAACACATACAGCTGCCTGAATATTTTTTACAAAATCTTTACAACTTCACTGGTTTATCCATAAGTGAAAAATGTGCTTTCCCCTGTAAGCAGATATTTTTTATTTTATTTTGAAAAATGGTGCTCCATATAAGCTAAATAAAAATGAAATTAAATACTAAAGTTGAGAAATCTACAAAAGCCTGTGGTCTTGGGGGCATGTTGCAATACATTACAGAAGATAAGTTTTTAACTTGTAGGTCAGAATGATTTCTGAGGTGCCACAGAAACACACCTTCTTTATACAGCCCCAGGATCAGAAAAGTTTCAATAATTTTTTTTTTTTTTTAAGGATTAGAAATGAAGTGACATTCCACATGCATCATTTTGTCATTGTGCCTTTTCCCCTCTTCCTCTGCTAAAACTACAGCACAATACAGAACTGTTCAACTCAATATGAAGTGCAGATTTTTTTTTTTTCTTCAAACCGTGATTCATATGATCATTTGAATCTGCCTGCATTTCACATAAAAAGCACAGGAACCAAGGATTCAACCAAGAAGAACTTGGCAATTTTGGGATAAAGTGCTTAAAGTTACTGTTCCTAGTGCCTGGAGACCACATTCGTGTCCCTTGTGTTGCCTCTTAGTTGCCATAACTGCGTGAGTTCAAAGAATGATGACTCAGTGATGTTCCCAGAGATGAGATGTGACTCCCCCTTTCAAGTTCAGGGAGGAGCAGCTGCAGCTATTTTTGGCCACAGTCTAGTGGGGAAACTACTGAATTACTAGGCAGTTTCTTGAATCCAGTTGTCCTATCTGAAGACTGTAACAAAAGAAATCCGAATATGGACTAAAGGAAAAGAGTTTCTACCAGCAAATTACTGCAAAATAAGATTTTTCTCTTACTTGCTGTGACTTTATTTTGGCTTGGTTTCCTTGGGCATGTAGGAAGGGTAGGGGCATGATTTGGTGTTGGTTGTTTGGGGGGGTTTTTGCTTTTTGCTTTTCAAAATTTTCACTTTGGTAAAAGTGACTTTTCTGACAGTTTTGATCAGGCCATGTTGAAGACACTACATATATAGGATATTAATTTATATCTGTAAAACAGCTGGTAGCATATGATATGCACTGATTTTGTTGCTTTTAAATGATGAAGCAAATGTAAGATTTTTTTCATGCTGGTGTAGGCTGTATACATTTGGAGAGATCCTTTATAAACATAACCAGTTGTGGTGGGTTGACCCTGGCTGGACACCAGGTACCCACCAAAGGCACTGCATCACTCCCCTCCACAACTGGACAAGGGAGAGAAATTATAACAAAAGGCTCGTGAGTTTAGATAAGGACAGGGAGAGATCACAAACTGATTACTGTCATGAGCAAAACAGACTTGACTTGGGGAAATGAATTAAATTTATTATCAATCAAATCAGAGCAGGATAATGAGAAGTAAAATAAATCTTAAAAACACCTTCTCCACACACACACGCTCCCCTCCGTTCTTCCTGAGCTTTACCTCCTCCCCTGCCACAGTGCAGGGAGCTGGGCAAGAGGGGGTTACAGTCAGTTCATCACGTTTCTGCTGCTGCTGCTTCTTCCTCGGGGAGAGGAGTCCTTCCCCTGCTCCAGCATGGGGTCCCTCCCACAGGAGTCGTCCACAGGCTCTTCCAACGTGAGTCCTTCCCAGAGACTACAGCACATGAACTGCTTCAGCATGGGTCCATTCCACATGGTGCAGTCCTTCAGGAAGAGGCTGCTCCAGCATGGGTTCTTCACAGAGTCAGAAGTACTATCAGTAAACCTGTTCAAGCATGGGCTCCTCTCTCTGTGGGTCCACAGGTCCCTGGAGCCCTCTCCAGTGCAGGTTTCTCACAGGGTCATAGCCTTCTTTTGAGCATCCACATGCTCCAGCATAGGGCTCCTTCACAGACTGCAGGTGGATATCTGCTCCCCTGTGGACCTCCATGGGCTGCAGGGGGACACCTGCTTCACCATGGTCTTCACCATGGGCTGCAGGGGAATCTCAGCTCCAGTGCCTGCAGCCCCTCTTCCCTCTCCTTCTTCACTGACCTCGAGGTCTGCAGAATGATTTCACCTATTCTCACTCCTCTCTGGCCACAATTACTTCTGCACAATAACCTTTTTTTTTTTCCGTCTTAAATGTGTTATGCCAGAGTCATTACTATCATCACTGAGTGATGGCCTTGGCCAGCAGCGAGTCCATCTTGGACCCAGCTGGCATTGGCTCTGTTGGACATAGGGGAAGCTTCTGGCAGCTTCTCAGAGAAGCACCTTTATAGCCACCCTGGTACTAGAACCTTGCAATGCAAACCCAATACACCAATTCTGCAGAATTCAGTTTCTTGTCTAGTTTTCTTTCCTCTAAATTTACTCAACACAGCACCATCATAAGGGTCACTACCATTCTCATTTTCTGAGAACAGGTTGATTATTGAGCAGGTAATGCAGCAACAAAACAGGACAAGGGTTGCTTATGAACTGGCGTGCTTGTTACTTCAACCACTCTGTAGTGCCATCACATCCCTGCTGATGGGAACCTCTGTGGGTATGTGGAGGTGCTGCCAGTCCCCATTTGGTTACAGGTGTTGTGGGATACTGTGAAGTAAATGATCCTTTATAGCTTGGCAATTTGGCGTTTGAAAACCCAAGACTTGCCGGTGCTGTTATTGCTGTAATACTGAAGATTCATTCACAAAGAGCTGATCATGAATCTTGTAAGGGAGTATATTGGAGCCCGAACTTTAAGAATCAAATGACTGTGAGTGGAGGTCAGACTGCTTTTAAAAATGAAAGAGTGTAGAGCTTGCTTTAAAGGGAAGTCCTGAAAAATTTATGTGTTAATTTACAAAGAGAAATTAATCCAAAGTTCTAATTATTTTAAATCTCAGCATCAAAGAACTTTTTTCTGAAATGTGCTTCACAGTAGGAAACAGTCTTCCATCCTTTCAAATGTGTAATAGATGAAAAATAAATTAAGTAAACTGGAGTATTTAAAATTACTTTTCTTTTTTGTGGCAAAAAAAAATTACTTTTAGAAACAAAACCTGTGGCAATAAGGGTGCTGTTGTAACAAATGACAAATTTAAACCTGAGCACATGAACCACTGAAGGTCACCAGAGCAGCCACCTAACTACTGCCTTCCCTTCTGCAATTTTTGTCCCCCGTATTCTGCCACGTCTCACAGGATGAAAAGGTTTCCAAAGCACGTCAGTGCTGTGTGGGAGCCATATCAGGGTTTGCCATCTTGGGAAAGGAATAATG